AATCCAAAAACTCAACAGCTTTCAAAGAAACTAATAAAAATGAAAAAGACAAAAAGTGAATAAAATGAAGCTACTTCATAATATAAAATTCTGTAAATTTAATCAGTACTCAGTAGACTTCTTTTTTTTTTTATCAAATCACCTTTAAAACATTGTGACCAACATTATGAATAGAATATTCAAGACTGTAGAATTATTGTATTGGGATTATGTTATCATTTCAACATTTAAATTTAAACTACTCTTAGATCATATAGTAGTAAATGATCTAAGAAACTACTTAAGGGAAGTTATATTATATAATTTGTATTGATATAATATTACGATATACAATACATTTATCATTTATATTTTGTAATATATTAATATGTGTAAATAATCATTTTATATGCTTTACAAGTTACCTAATAAAATATAGAAATACCGAATATAATAATAACTAACTAAATGATCTAAGTATACCAATTCTGTCAACATAAGCCACTGTAACTCCAAAAAACGAGTTTTTCAGGAAACAATAAAACAGTTTTCAACACTAAATTAGACCGTAGAGTGAAAATAATAATTTTTTAAATATTAAAGAGATGGTATTTATTATTGTATTTTTCCCGAGGAAACTATTAAACACAAAAAAAAGTTGTTTGATACATTTTTTAAAATCTTTCAAATCATATCGAACTCGATTTTGACAAAAATGAAGTTACTGCGTAATAATAGCGATACCGCGAAAAAATAACCCCAAATGAGATTTTGCAAATTAATCTAAATATTGGTGTTAATATGTCATTGCGCGAAAAAAATTAAAAAAYGTTTAATATACCTATTAYYTACATACAATTTTTATGTTCCCACAAATAACGTTAATTTTGGATTCAATGATAAATTATTGATTACCTACGATAAAAACGATTCAGAGCACGATGCCAGTCTGTCTGTCATATCGATCAGATATGTAATAAAAAGTTACAGCGACAATGTGAAATAATATTATAATGGATTAGAAAGGTACCTTTATCTTTAATTTTGCGGTAATTTATGAAATTTGTGAAGTCCTGTGAGTTCATCTCTCAGTATTTGGTACTGCAATGTGCTTTCGTATATTTAATATTATATAAGGTGTAACAGKACTATTTAACAAATTTCCATTACATATATTACTATATTTGTCAAATAGTACTGTTACACCCTGTATATTTCTCTGTGYTTTGTTTTAATTTCTATTTGAATAATAATATGGATATACTAGATATTTTTGAGAGCCAGAAGGGCAAAGAAAAGTTKGCATTTAAAAAGTATATGTATGTTGTACACAAAGAGTGTTTAAATTTTATAAGGTGGAAATGCTGCACAAAAATAGTCACAAATGTTTGAAAACTTCCCTGAATAAAAAACGTTTAATTAAAATTGATCATGAATATCATTGTATTACAAATTTATGATTAATATTTTTTATTTATACATTATTGACATTTCCATTCGTTTTTACCGTAATTGAAAAATTTGACAATTATTTGTTTTTAATTATTATTATATTATTGAAATTGTATTGTATTACAAATAGGTAGGTGCCTGCAGGTATACCTTACAAATCAATTTTATCGTAGGGTTATTTTTTCCGGGGTTATTTATTAGGCAAATCAATAATAGCTTATGACTGCAGCGTTGCGCACAGCATGCTGTTACTCATCTATGTAATTAAATGTTCTATTAATAAATCGCATCAACACGGTAAAGTTTATTTCATAATTATTATTCATGTCAATACATAAAAAAATATTATTATTAATAATAATATAATTCATAATACTATTACACTATTGACGATATTATATTATTATAATCATTTAATCAGTGATAATACATACTAAACGGGAATTTTTTATTGACAACTGAACTGAGGCGCAGCTGCAGCTCTTCGTGGAATTTAAGGAAAATGCAAAAATACTCTCCGTACTTTGTACTAAATAGTAGATACCAWTAGTTAAATAAATTACTATAACATAATGATATCATAAAATATTGAATGTTTTTATTGAAGACTGGTCATCTTCGCTCGAAATTTCTTTTCGTGAACAATGATTTATCGATTACTTTGAATCTAACTCTAACACACGCTTTGCAGTGACCTACTCAGTGATGTTGTAGAAGCTTGCATTTAGCGGGAGATGCTGAAGGCACAGTCCGCTGACCAGGATTCCGTATACTTTAGCCGAGTCGATAACAGGTTAACGGCTCGTTACCGGGGTGCACTRCGAGGAAGCGTATACGGGGTGCACTCCACTCAGTGATGAGGTGCACACAACAMCTACAACAGTGATAATCTAGTATTTTAGTATATTGAATATTTCTTTTGATCATGACTCTAAAATCAAAATTGATTGACTGTATTAAGACCATGATGATCCAACAACTTTAAATGTATTATATTTATTTTTACAGAACAAAATACAATATTGCCTACATGAATCGGCTCTTGTCAAACTAAATACGTATCTAAATTGTATTTCTTGAAACTGGCCAACTATAGGAGTAATTCATATGAATTTTAACTGTAGTTAATTTCTCAAATTGATGTGATCCCAGGAGGTAGGTATGGATGCTAAATAGTAGGTTGTATAATGGTATTTGAGTAGTTTTTAAATCCACAGTACACAGGTGAATAGTGTACCTGTGTACATATAGAAAAAAAAATTAGAAACAAGGTTTTTAGATCTAAAGCACAATAATGTACTTAAACATTTATTTAGTTAACAAAATTAATTATAATAACAAATTGTAAAGAATAGTCTATATATAATAAAAAAAACATTTTTGTAGACAGCAGTAGTAACCTTCAAGAGTCAAGATTAGGTTTTTATAATGATTAAATGATTGATATTTATTACAATAGTGGCGATCTGAACATTTTTTAGACGTGGGGCAAACCATAACATTATTACCATTTGGCCAGCCACCCACACCTTTGACTTGATGTTCTAACTTTGATGTCTAGTTTATTTTTTTTTAAAGAATACTTCTGACCAAGAAACATAAATAAGTATTGTCGGAAACATACGTCAACGGCGGTAGCCCGGGGTTGGTAAATTGAGTCCCAAATGACCCTAACTCGGTAAATTGAGTCCAGGGGAAAAATCGGTAGTAGGTAAGTTGAGTCTCGGAAAAAATAAGGCAGTAGGTAATTTGAGTCCCAGGGAAAAACGATTTATACATAATACATATGTATTTAAAATTTAAAAATATGCACTATAAAATTTTAAATGCATATAAATCGTTTTTCCCTGGGACTCAAATTACCTACTGCCTTATTTTTTCCGGGACTCAACTTACCTACTACCTATTTTTCCCCGGGACTCAATTTACCGCTTTCAAAATGTACCAAACGTATCTCGGACTCAATTTATCTAGCCCCTGGTAGCAGACTACATACCACCATAGCTGGCTACACTGCGTTTTATTTTTATACACAAAATTGAAAATTGTTGACATAATGACATTTATTGTGTATGCACTATGCGTACCATATTGGCATACTCTGTCAGCATTGCTGCTGTAGTTTTCGTTCAGGGTGGTCTGGCTCTGGTCTTCGGTAATCGGTTCGGGAGTAGGATTTCGAAAATTATTAAAATCAATAAAATCATAGTTAAATATTAATTGTATGATAAATTAAAAATAGTAWCCGAACAGTAGACGCATACATATTATATATTATGTTTTAAGTTGGGAATGTTTGGATGACGTAAATATTGATTACGTATGAAAATATTCGATGAATACATTTTGGTTTAATAAATTGTTATTATTTATCAACCAATAATTAGTAGGTAAACTAAACACTAGCAAAGTTTTTCTGGTAGGTAGCATTCTACACCAACGAAGTAGCGGTAGGTAAACGAGTACCAAATATTAAAAATACATAGGTGCGATATTTCGATTAATAAAGATCTAGTATTTTAGCAACATTTATCAAATTGAAAATAATATTTTGTACCTAGTTGAAAATTTATAAATTGTTCAATTTTTATTGCTAAGGATTGCAAATTTAAAACCAAATATTTCATCCTGTAACAGAAACATCTAAAATTATCTCAATACCTCAACAATATTTTTTTWAAATAAATGTTCTCAGTGGTTGAATTGGGAAAAAATAATAAAGATGGACTATAAATGAAGTTGAACAACTAAGCAAATTAATTTAATAGTAACCCTATTTCTTGATGAATATATAAAGGGGTACGCTATAATTTGAAGAAAAATGAAAAATAGGTAGTTCTGTCCCCCTGCATCCTCCCCCAATTCAACCACTGGATATTTTAAGTTCAAATTTTGTCATAAATAAATATTTAAACAGAATACTAATTTTAATTATTTTGGTATAATTTGAAAATTATATTTGTGGGTACTTCTAAGTTCTTAATTAAATTATTTTATTTAATAAACACAATGATAATATTTTCTCATTAAATTTACTTAGTCATATTATAAGCTGACATCTTTTCCTCAGAATCGTTTTTCATATACAAATATTTGGTATCATTGAATTAAAATTTAATACATCCATTACAGTGACCCACTCAACAACTACTATACAGCAGAGAGACTTCCCCGATTTTTAACATTAAAAATTTAAAAATCAAATCAAATTCAATTTTTTTTATAAAAAAATAAAAAAACTAATTTATTATTTTGATTTCAATTGTACTATTATAGACTGTAGTAACGTTTATTTAAGTTTAGTAGCTAGGTAGTTAATTTTTATAGCTTTTTTTTTTTAAATATCATTAATTTTTTAGGAGTAAATCAATTTGAAACTTAATTTAATATATTTTCAAAACATAATATGCATCTTTTAAATCTGTTGCAACGTTTATTAACTAATASACAATATTAAATATAAAAGATATATTTACTTTCGACATGTGTGATGAGGAACGTAGTACTTTTTTTTWAAATAATAGTACAAATATTATTCAAAACTTTTTATTGCACTAAATCCATTACCTGATACCTACATCAGAATAACCTACTTAGCACTACAATGCATTACAATAACATAATTACAATAATACAAAATATAGCGTTTTTTAAATATTTTATCGGGTAATCATTCACAGAATAAAACAAGGTATGTAGTTTATAATTTAATAACAAGATAGTCKGTAAGTATTGGGTATTAGTCAAAGTTAATAACTTATTTACTTGTTTGTAATGCAACAATATAAATACTATCAAATGAATATATTATGCTTATGATATATAATATTTATACTACTTTACATTATGATCTTTTTAGTACGTGATTTTTCAAAAGTTCCAATATGTCAGTATTAAACTCTTGTGGTGCCGGTTTAGAACCAATAGACCAAGCATATAAGTCCCATTCATCAAATTTACTGTTTATCAATGCATCATACTTTTGTAACTGTTCAAAATTGAATGTTTTTAAATATTTGTCTGCAAATGTAGTAAAGATTATACAATTTTCTAATATTCCTCTTTTTCTAGATTGATATATGAGACGGCTCCTCATCAAATCTAGTTCAGAGTCTGAAGGATTTTTAGAATCACCAGTTTGAGCATAACTGCGGTTCTTGATACCCAATAAATGAGCATTTCTCTGTAATAATAAAATAAATAATTGTTTTATTCTAAATATCTTGTTTGATGTTTTCGTATTCATGAAATAAGAAATTTAAATCAGTTTACTAACCATCAAGGAGTATCTATACAAATAAGCAGTATTTTTAAACATGTCGATCGATATTTGACTTTTCTTAACTGAGCTCAATAGTGTTCGATGTATTTTTATAATAATTTAGTTTTGGTGTATACTTTATTTACTATTTAGTCTCTCTTACRCAATACACTGAAATTATAGTTATCTTATCTGAACTCTGATATTATTAGAGTTGGGGTAATTGTCTGTATATTATATGATATCACTTATCAATATGATTATCACGACTTATTACCATGGATAATATAAAAATAACTTATACTGAAGATGTGGTATACCGGTATTATCGTTTAAATCGTGCTTATAACTTATAAGTTAAAGCTGTATTGCCTGTAYTACCACAGAACGTCAGAACAAGTTTACTAGAAAATGACTAGCTCTTTTGAATTTTGAAACTATACCTTAAATTGTTAATAGTATCGAAAAACATAAGAATACAAATTTAATAAATTTCATGACGATTAATAAAATAAACTGGCAAAATATTGTTTTTAACCAAAAAACCCTCAGTTAGTCAGTTCTTGCCAACGATTAATCATAAACAATAATTACTAATTTATCACCGCAAAAGATATTCATCTTATTCATAATTGAAACATAACAATCACTTTGTGCTATGTATCAATGGTATTGTACCGGCATTGATAAAATACATGTATGAGTGACCTCTGTTTAGTTCTCTTAATGTGCACTGCTTAAMYGACTATATCATARAAGATAGAGCTCACCAARAATAYCCTTCTTGCTTGTGATCGTTCTGAAATTACTTGATAAAAAATAACAGCACAAACACCAAATCAGACTAACCAAGTCTTTTGGGACACTGGTCGTTTCAACTATGTTCATAAATTTAGAATGGTTTTATATTAGACGTGAAAAAAAGTGACTTTGATCAGGAKTAAACTAGTGGACAGAAAAAAAATGCCTGATGCAAAAAATGGAAAAAAAGAATATTATAAAAATTCATATAACAATACAATTGAACAGTTACAAATATTTAAATATTTTATATTTTTATGTAAGATAATTTACTATGATCAATGTTATTTTCGTCTTCTGTAGCAATCATCTCCACATCATTTTCTTGTTCTTCTTCGAGTAGTTTTTCTTCAGTTAACAAACGTTGTTTCAGTCCTGAAATAAACAAGTGATTTTTAACATTACATTRTTCAATCACAACATTTATATTAGAAAAAGATAATTATAGTTCTTCAAACATTTAACTAAATGYGCAATAAATTCATATTATGCTAATTTGTTGGTTTTATAAAATTAAATAAAAATTAAAAACTAGAAGTAACAAATTTATGTTCTGTTCTTTGACTGATCCAATAATTTTTACTTATAAAAAATACTCTTATCCAAGTATAGTAAAAATAACACGAAGGTGACGATGACGCTTGGGCTGCTAAAGTAAGGAATACACAGGAATTTACAAGTTTTGGTCGCCACCCAGTTGCAGTCTTGCTGAACAGAGTATGAAAAAAATAAAGATACCTATTTTATAGAGTTTATTTTGCTGAAAATGTTGATCTTTTAACATTTTATTTTATTACATGATTTTTAAAAATTTATTTAATTTTTTAGATAAAATGGCAAAAAACTGGTTTTTATCTGAGCAGCGAGTTTTATCTGGGCATCCCTCTACGGCTAATAGGTAGGATATACCCTCACTGGACACTGTAAATTATATAATAACCGAGATTTGAATAATTTTTTTTATATTACCTGCAGCAGGTGATCTAATCAGTGACATATCTCTTTGGAYTTCTCTAATATCTCTGTGCTGTTCAACTTCACGTCCTTTACGTAATCGCTGCATTACATAGGTAGACTGACGCTTCTTTTGAATTTCAGTSACTTTTTTAATTGCTTCCACTATTCAAACAAATTTGATCATATTAAACTATTCACAAAATGTGTCCATTGTACAATAAACAGTATAACAAATGTATATATCTGTTATTTATAAACTATAGTTAATTCATAACTATGTATRTTATACATACTCGACATTTGCCAAAATTCTCTGTCATATTTCATGGGTATGTTACGCCTCTTTTCAATTTCAAATGATGGATCAACAGCCAGTTCTTTACCAACAGCCTTGCGGTATGCYTTGGTCCATCGTACACGCCTTGGGTTCTTCTTCTTTTGGAATGCTCTGTGACATTTCGAGCGACAAAATTTAAAAACCTAAATCATAATCAAGATGTGAATAAATGGACTGCGAAATAAATATTA